CGCCACTCAAACACCTTAATTTTGCATGGTGAATGTCAAGCTTTGAAAGTGGTTTTTAGATTATAAAATATAAGCAAAAGGTAAAAACCTAAACGAAGCAGAAGATATTTTTTATTTAGTGGAAGGAGTTTGTATACAATATTTTGCTATATGCAAAACATGCTCAGCATAATGTGACGATCCTGCAATTGTCCTTGTTTTCGAATACATTAAAAATTTCAATTACTGCATGTCTCCAAAAAGTTCTAAAAGAAAAAAAAACAAAAGATTGGCTGCTTCAAAGTAAGTTTACATACGCAAAAACGCCGTTTTACCTGTTTTAAGCCATAAAGCGCACATGCGCATGCTTAGCGACCATCCATATATCGAATTGCAGATTGTAAATTTCAATCTTAGTCACTACTTGCTTTTGCTAGCAGATTTCTTAGCTCAGCGTAGCGCATTCAAATACAATTTACGAAAATATAGGCCGACTATGTTGTTGCAAATTCCACTCACTTTAGGATGTTATGGGAGCGGAAGAAGGCTTTCACAAATTTCAAAGAGCTTAGATGTCTTGTTTACCCTTTAACAAGGTCGCCTATATACGAAGTTAGGGTGAAGCACGTATGATTAGGTCATTAATTATAAAACCGTCTAAAAAATTACTATTTTACTTACAAAGAAAGAATAATGGGGACCATCGCCTTTCGAATTAAGAAACATACTAACAAATAATAAAACGCTGTTTTTAAATCTGTCTTCCATATTTGCTGAACGATTGTTTGAAGGGATTCTAAAAGATTTTTTTCGCGCAATATAGCCTTAAGCCAAGTGCTTAGAACAAAAATCACTCACAGGATGAAGCATTATCTTCGATAAGACTTACCTTAACTTAGCTATCTACTGAGCTTTCACGTCGCTTGTTTAGAGCAACTGTGCATGCGAGCAATAAATGGCACATAGTACAAGCTACTTCCATGAGAGAAAGTCTTATAACTTCCTTAAAAGAAGCGCTTCAGATTGAATGGTACTTGAAGTCAGCGTTTTTATTTTGAAAAGCCGGGGTCAATAAGCATGCTGCTCTAGTGCATATGATAAAGTTTGCAGCGCAACAAGCTGGCTT